CAATAATATATTTATTAACTTTAGACAGTGCAATATTATACTATTTGCTTAAAGTAAATGTATGAAAAAAAATATATTATTTATTTAAAAGCAAGTGCAATCTTTACGAATGTCTATTTTCTTTTGGAATAGTTGCAATAGAAATTTAAATTATTCACATTATTTATTTTCCCTCATTTTACCAAAGATACCAGATACAAAATAATAAAACATGTATGACTGAATACGACTATTCGCTTGATATTAATAAGTAAAGGATTTTTATATAACTCCATTGCTTCCATAGGTACAAGAATTTTTAAATATTAACTTAGAATTGTGGTCCCGTCAATAGTGTTATTTATAACCATAATAATAATTACAGATATACAATGCACAAAGTCATATGACAAAGATATTTATAATAACGAATAAATATATTAGATCATTATTAGTGGTAATCACTCTTATTTTATTGTAATCTCATTATTCATATTTTATTTCACATTACTGATAATGTAATAATATTGAATAAAAAATATTAATTTGGGCTATGTGAAAAAATCTCAATCGAAATTATGAAGTGGAAGGACCATGACATAAGAACTAATTAGTTATTGATCAACATTTTATTGGACTAAATTTTGTAATTGTGACTTGAATACTTCATGTATCTGATAATATGCGAATATTAGTAGTGTAAAAAAAGTGAAAGTCAACCTGAGAAGCATTTGGAATGAGGTTTAACGTAGAAAATACTTTAAGGTATTATAGGGTATTTGATTGCTTGAGCTCACATTAAATGATAATTTTAAATATAATAGCATCGAAATCTTCTTACATTTTATACTAAAAGCAATCAAGTACCCTTCTCTAATGAGTTTAAAATTTAACTCATTACTGCGTATTCACTGTTACAATTATGTAACATGTTGACAGCTTGACTTTCACCGCATGATATTGTCTCTCTAATTATTAATTTGTATAATCATTATCTATTTATTATTAAATTTAAGTAACTTTTCAATTCATTGTAAACATAATTTATTATAATCATATAGGTATATAGAATTCATTTGATGTTATATTTAATAATATATTAAATATTTAGTGTAAGTTCAAAATTAGTTGGATCAGTAAAATCACCTTACTCAATTATGAACGTTAACCCATCTCATGATTTGTATGTTTATTACAGATATTCTGTAGTTTGTGTAACTACGTTCATAGTTAAATTTATTCATAGTAAATGCATATCATGAAAAGCAAGTAAGAGAGATCCAGAAAAATGATGGGCTTCTATTTGTATGATGCATTTTGAATAAATACCTGTGTTTATGTACTTTCTATGATACTGATAAGGATAAATGATTCAATAATATTAATTATTATTATTATAATTTATTACAAGTACTTAAATATGCGAAACTAGTCAGTTATAATTTTGCGCAAGATTAAAGTTTTAAGTATACTCTTAAGTATTTATAAAACTGTGTTCTCTAATTTAAATGTAGACATTTAGGATTTTGAGTTTAAATTATGTTGGTGTGGTGTTTGGTTAACATAAGTATAATGTACCATTGTATAGTACACAATACATAACAATATACATAATGGTGTGTATCAAAACTAGTCAAGGGTAAATTGTACCTCTGAATATTATAGCTTATGGGTGTTCTGAACTTTTCGTTTGCTTATTCTGTGTTTAGCTAAATACTTGTATGACTAAAAAGTAGGTTGTTTCTAATGTAGTTTGAGGTGTTATGATTACACTTATCTACTGTCTGCTGCTTTATTTAATTCGAAATTATTCAGCTGTTCAAATCTGTGACGTAAATGGTCCAGTTTCGCTGAACAAATAAAAGATAGAAATACGGAACTGTTTTAACAGTAGAAACGAGTTGCATAATTTCGAATTTTATAAGGAAACCCAGTTTCAATAGTCTGTTACATATAGTCGACGTGGCACATAATGCATGCATCCCCTTTCATTCATGTGGGTACACATACACATGGGTACACACCAACTTAATTTTGACTGTTTATTTAGATCCGGTGTTACCCGAGGTTTCATGTCTCCCATGGAAGGTTGGGCTTGGAACTCGGAGTCATGTTCTGTAATTGTCAATGTACCGCTTGTCATCCTTTAAACGCACAGCTTGGATTTGTCTCTATCCATTACAGCAAACGAGAAATTCAGAACATCTTCTAGTAAATAAATTATGTGTTGTGTCGTCCCTGAATTGATATGATCCTCCACCGAAAGCAATGTTTTGAATCCAGTACACACCTGTCCCTTTTATTGTTTTGTTTTGCACTAGTACTTTGTGTTCTAATATGTGGTATTTTGTGTTAGTGTAGATTCTGTTACTTTAAAACTAACATTTTCGATTTTAGTGACTTATTTATCCACATTTAACGATTTGATTTTATTATTATTATTTTTCGTTTGTTTTACTTTGGGCAGGTTTGGGTATTGTAAGGTTTTGGCCTAGGATGTAGGTAGAAATATATAAGACAGAGTACAAATCGCCGATTAATGTAAAGAGGAAATGTTTGGCTTACTTACATTTAATTTTTGGAATAATGTCAACGAATGTAATCTGATGTAGGAAATATTGATAGACATTAAATATTGACATTAGCAATAATATACATAAATAATCTTTTATTTTAATATCCCTCCACGTCTATTCCCCAAAATAATTAGGATATAGGATACATAAAATAATTACTAGGTGTAGAAGGTACCCTAACATAAAATATATAATCGAAACTAACACCCTACCTACCTATATGTAGATACCCTGTACCTACAACAAAATGGTCAAAAAATAAGCAGACAAAATTGTAAGGGTTGATTATTTATTATTACCGATACTGACTCAATGGGACCAAGATTTTTCATACAAATGCCGCATTAGGTAGGTAGGTACACTCGTAACAATAAGATTCCTAGAAGTTATTTTTTATGACTAGTAAAAAACCTAGTGTCATACATAACACTTTATCACAAAAGTAAAAGGTAGAATCCCGATTATCCGGATCAATTAAAACCAGGGGTGTTCCGGATAATAGATTTCAAAGTAAAATCAAACATTAATTAACTTTTTACAATAGAAAGGGTTTTCAATACATCGTTTAGACCATTGGATGAATACATTTCTTTTAACAATGAACTAAGACAAAGTCCAATCCGTGTTACGGTGGCCGCGGCCTCCGTTTTTATCGGTCCAGAGACCCTAAATCAGTAATTAGAAACTGAAGAATGAGTCCGGATAATCGGATATCCGGAAAATCGAGATTCTACTGTAATTAGAAAAAGCAAGTAGGCATTCGTTGAAAGATATCTAATTAAAACCGGCCGGTCGCAAAGCGGGCTCCATTTTGAAACAATTTGATCAAGCAACGCGAGGGATGGATCGACCCTATCACCCTTCAAATGGAGTTCATTGAACCCTTTGTGTGTTTGAACCGCGAGGGCATGGATTTTTTGGCGAAATCGTGTAATAATAATACGTTAGAACGTGTTTCTATTGAACTGAATGTATGGAACAGCTCGATATTGAGCTTTTGTAAACGTCTAATACAGCTTTATTAGGTAAGTACTTAGGTTGTAGGCATTATGTACAGCTACTTACCTAGGTCTACCTAAATAAATTCGTCTAGGCACGTACTTCCCACCTACTTGATTTATTTATACCTACTTAGTTAAAATAAAATGTAAATTAAGTAGTTATTAATAAACACATAATAAATATTTATAGGTAGGTACTTAGATTGTATTGGTAGTTTAGTGTAGGTACCTACACTAAACTACCAATACAATCTAAGTAGGTACCTACAATCTAAACTACCTACACTAAACTACCAATACAATCTAAGTACCTACCTATAAATATTTATTATGTGTTTATTAATAACTACTTAATTTACATTTTATTTTAACTAAGTAGGTATAAATAAATCAAGTAGGTGGGAATTTACCGAAGATAATAGGTAACCTAGAGAAATAGCACCATTTATTCAGTGAAACCACATTTAAATGAGAGGTCTTAGGTAGTTGACTGCCTGTGTATAATTATTGATTTATTAGACAGGAAACAGCTTGTAGGCACACATTGTGTAGGGAGGGACCTAATGTGCCAATGTAATAAATATAGGTACCTACCTACAGCATAATATTTTAATGTACCTACTTATCTTCATTTTTTTAAATGGAGCGGGTATTGAACCAGCGACCCACGGGCCACGGCCACTAAAGTCCTCTAAAAGTACCTAAAACAATAAGGTTAGCTCGATTCGCTTTCGAGTCTTGGAATTCCAGTACAGGATGGTAGGTACAGTACGGTACGGCAGTGTTTGCTTCGCGCTCGTCTTGGCGGGGGCATTGCCGTGCCCGCCGCTAAAGTGCTCGTCTTGGCGGGGGCATTGCCGTGCCCGCCGGTAAAGTATTATTTGCGCGGGAAGAGGAAGGGTCAGAGGATGCGGGCACCGCAGGACCTGGACCGGTCGTCATGGAGATTGGGGGAGGCCTTTGTCCAGCCGTGGACGTCGATTCGATTAAAAAGTGTAATTTGTCTAAGGGGGTTGATCGCCATCGCCATGTGTTAGGGGACGCGGCTCTTCCTAATTATTTCAATAGGTAAGGGTGATTATTTTTTCCTTCTTTTTTTTAATGATATCGATATTTATTAGAATCGATTTCTTCTTAGGTGCTCGATATTTGGTAACATCCCTATGTGCTTATAAATACAGATTAAAAATAAATTTGATAATTAATAATCATAGAATAATTAATGCAATAAATCTAAAAATCTTCCTCTCTCCTAAAATGCAGTGCCCGACAGGGTCCATAATTGTATCCTACCTTACCAATAACACCTTTTGTAAACATTATGGAAGCAATAAACTATTGAGTATTGAGTATTGAGTATTGCACGCAACCCATATCTGTGCACGCAACGCACGTCACGTCACTAATGTACGTAAATGTCATTTTTGATGGATTGGAAAGAAATTGGAAAAACTAACAATTGATCAGCCATCGGGATTTTGATTTAAATTATTGATTTGTTTTTGAATACAACTACAAAGCGCGAATTTTGTGGAAGTTTTGCAAAAAAATTCCTATTTCTTCTTGTAGAATTAACTGAAAATCTTGCCCCGTTTGATCAGCTGTGCTGTAGGCTGTAGCAACATCATTTTGTGTTGTTCAATGATACAGTTTTGATCCAGAAATGGAGTCCCTTTCAAAACAGGAGTTGATATCAACTATAACAAAACAAGCAGATCAGATAAAACGATATGAAACACGACTTAGAGGTATGTACCTACATGCGATTTTGTTCATTATTCGGCAGAACAAAAGATTTGATTTTTACTTAGACTTGTCCATATGTTTCATGTTTATTTTAGTGTAGTTCCTACAATAACTGTATTTTATTGATATTTTTGTGATATTTTCGCATTACATTCCCTTTCCAAACTACTGACCTGGGATCTGATCTGATCATTTTGCTTTTTAGTAGTAGTAGCAGAAACTCAAGATGTTTTCCACAATATTGTCATTGATGTAATATTATCGTACATTGCAGATGTTGTGACAGCTTATAAAGGCCTTGCAAAGGAAAAAGAAGCCTTGGAAATAAGTTTGAAGGCCTTAAATAAATCAGATACTAGTGATAGTGAAGGAGGTAAGAAGTCCAATTTATCCCTAATTCTTATTAGAATATTTACTTATAAGAAATTATGATCGTTAACCTCATTTTATTTTTGCACACAGTTGCAGATGATTCAGTTGCAGCACTCACATTGTCACTATCAACGTTGACTGCTGAAAAGGCTCGCATGGAAGAAGCATTCCAGGCTGATAAGAAAGTTACCAGAGATAAGGTACCATTTCAGAAGTCACATTATATGGATGTTTTCATCTTTAAAGCTTATTCATCATCATCATTTCAGCCATAGGACGTCGACTGCTGAACATAGGCCTCCCCCAATGCTTTCCACGTTAATCGATTGGTAGCGGCCTGCGTCCAGAGCTTCCCTGCTACCTTTACAATGTCGTGTCCACCTTGTAGGTGGATGTCTCAAGCTGCGTTTTCCGGTATGCGGCCTCCATTCCAGAACCTTGCTGCCCCATCGGCTCTCAGTTCTGCGTACTATGTGCCCTGCCCATTGCCACTTCAGCTTGCTCGGCTGGGCAGCGTTCGGGAAACTACGCAACATCTTTTCGTCCAAAATACCTCAGTGCCTGAAGACGAAACTCTAAAGCCTATTAAATTATTTAAATGAAACTTTTTGCAGTATGAAAACGTCATATCGACCATGAGAGAGGAGACAAGAACATTGGTACAGCAACATTTGGCTGAAATTAATAACTTGAAAGCTAAAATTGCTTATGAAATTCAGGAGAGGGAAAAAGAGAGGGCTGATCATTCTGCAATGATGAAGTGAGTATTATTTTCTTGCCTCTCATAGACATTACTTATCTATGTTACTGTAAAAGCTCGAATTGCAGTAAATCCTAAGATATTCCAGTAAAACCTAAGATCTACCAATTCCTAATGGTAAATGTCCCAAAAGGTTTGCGATTCGAACTCTTACCACCATTTCGTTGGTAAATCTTAGGATTTACATTAATGGCACGGTAAATGTTGAAAAACAAAACAAGCATTTTTGACAGGTAACAATCGGTCCTATCTACGCATTACCCGAGCGCAGCCTTTTTATATTGTTTAAATGTACGAACAATTTAAGAACTAAAAAGAAAGACCACGGCATCACTTTTCATTTTAATACAATTAAACAAACCATGATGTCACTGCCTTGTTTTTTTTTTAGCAACGTAAGATCATGTCATATAAAATACTAGTTTTTGCCCGCGGCTTCACCCGCGTGTAATTTTATTTGTCACAGATCGCCATAAATTATAGCCTATAAAATTTGTTATTCTGGGTTAGAAACAATAATACTGTAAAGTTTCATCAAAATCAGTTCAGTAGTTTTTGCTTGAAAGAGTAACAAACATCCACACAAACTTTCGCGTTTATAATATTAGTAGGATGCATGCAGTACAAAATTTCAGTGTCCTAGATATGATATTTACAGGTATGCGCCACTATCAATGCTGGGTTATTATAATTCCGATTTTTATCCGATTCCATGGACTCCTCTGTCTGTCTGTCTGTCTGTTACGCTTTCCCGCTTAAACCTCGCAACCGATTTTGATGAAATTTGGCATAGAGATAGTTTGAGTCCCGGGAAAGAACATAGGATAGTTTTTATCCCGGTTTTTGAAACAGGGACGCGCGCGATAAAGTTTTTCTGTGACAGACAAAATTCCACGCGGGCGAAGCCGCGGGCGGAAAGCTAGTAATATTATAAATGCGAAAGTAACTCTGTCTGTCTGTCTGTCACGCTTTCACGCCTAAACCACTGAAGCGATTTTGATGAACTTTGGCATAGAGATTGGCATAGGTCCCGGGAAAGGACATAGGATAGTTTTTATTAGTTCTGGTTTTTGAAACAGGGACGCGCGCGATAAGGTTTTTCTGTGACAGACAAAATTCCACGTGGAAGAAGCCGCGGGCGGAAAGCTAGTTTTCTATATCTTGTTTTTTCTTACCTCAGCTTAGAACTTAACCTTTACTTGTTTTATCTATAATTTAAATAATTTTACAGAGAACTTCACATTAAACTGAACAGTGAAAGGAAAACCAAAGAAAAATTGGAAGATAAAGTGGTTCACTCTTCAGAAGCCCAAGGTCAGTGAATTGAAATTCTCATGTCTACATTTTTTTTCTACTTCATAAAGCCGCTGTAACTTTAAAAAAAAAAAACATCATCAAGAATTAATTGTTACATTTTCAGCATCCCACGCCGAACTGGAAAAGCGTGTCCGCGACCTAAGTAGCTCATTAGAGGCATCGCAGCGTCGCTTGCAGCGGGCTGAGGCGCGAACGGTGGAGACCCCGGCGTTGCTAGTACGCTTGCAGCAGAAGCTGGCGCTGCTGGAGCAGTCGCACTCCGTCGCCATCAGAGAGGTGGGCACAGTGGGCTAGAGACACGCTAGCAGCGAGCTAGAGGCGCGGTGGAGGCCCCGGCGCTGCTGGAGCAGTCGCACTCCGTCGCCATCAGAGAGGTGGGCACAGTGGGCTAGAGACACGCTAGCAGCGAGCTAGAGGCGCGGTGGAGGCCCCGGCGCTGCTGGAGCAGTCGCACTCCGTCGCCATCAGAGAGGTGGGCACAGTGGGCTAGAGACACGCTAGCAGCGAGCTAGAGGCGCGGTGGAGGCCCCGGCGCTGCTGGAGCAGTCGCACTCCGTCGCCATCAGAGAGGTGGGCACAGTGGGCTAGAGACACGCTAGCAGCGAGCTAGAGGCGCGGTGGAGGCCCCGGCGCTGCTGGAGCAGTCGCACTCCGTCGCCATCAGAGAGGTGGGCACAGTGGGCTAGAGTTAATAAACCCCTACTCTTCCCGCGGGTGTCGTAAGAGGCGACTTAGGGACTACACATCAAACAGAGAACGGGTAGCAGCGCTCTCTGACAAACATCAATCTTTTAAACTGCGATCTCCAACCCGCCTGCCAAGCGTGGGGATTATGGCAAAACCCTCCACTATAGTGGAGGAGGCTCATAGTCCAGTAGTGGACTGTAAAGGGCTGTTGATGATGATGATTTCTAGAGTCTTGCCGGTTGATTTTCGCCAGTTGTTCTTGAATCTTCAGTTTCTTTAGGCAGGGTCGCCATGTGGTATGTTAAGTGAAAGACATGCGTAGGGTTTGAATGTCCAATCTTTAATAATTCGAAAAGTACAAATTTACTTAAAACTAAAATATAGCTAACTCAACACATTGAATGTGACACCATGTTGCAGTCACTAATTAGAATATAAATGTTACAGTACAACTAATAAATCAGTATACTTCACCTCCCCGAAAAGTACATATTACAACACGCTAGTCCGGTCGAGGAGCAGATAGAATTTCGTCCGATGACCCCAAGCTACCCATCCTTATCGCTCACGTGTAATTATATTGCTGTCTGCGGGCGGCCGCAGTGAGTGAGCGCGACAGCCTTTGGCGACCGGACTTTAGCACCAAGCAGCTGGCTAGCTAGCCTAGAACCTTCTAAAGCCTCATCATTTTAGTTCATCGGTACCTTTGGAAGTCGTAATCATATCCCTTTCAGGCCGGATTCCAGATTTTTTTAAATTAACATTTTTGACTACATAACATGTTTTATTATTGTATAAGGTACTCAGAAAAAATAATTTTAAAAATCCCACTCGCCCCCCTCTGCGTGGGGGGACCCAGCACGATCGTGACGCTCAGGCTTAAATTAATTTACTGCACGAAAGTGACGGTGTCAGGTTTTGTAGTTAAAAACCTAAAAAACAATAAAATATTTAGAAACATATATTTTTAATACTCTTAAAAGGAGAAGGAACTTTAAGTAATATATCTGATTTAAATTTCAAATCATTTTAAAATAGCTAAAACGGTAGGTACTAGCAGATTTTTATTACATCTCTTGATGAGGAAAAAATCCTCTCCTGATGTAAAATTGGATGCTACTAAGACGGGTTTGTTATCCATTATCCATACATTTTACAATAACAATGTCATTACTAATGAATATTTGGGATTCTTGCTTGATGTCCTTATTTTTCGTCCTAGGAATTCAGTTTTCATAATCGTGCCAGTCTCATGAAGCCCCATTTCATTAAATTTCTCGAATAAAAGTATGGATGAGAAAAACCTGTCAAAAGATACAGAGCTTACTGCTTGCAATCTACTTGAGAGAGATGAAGAATTGCAGAAGTTCAAAAACCTAGAGATCTTCAAAGTTTATTGTTGCGGCCTGATAAACTTCGAAGTCAATCATCAAACCATCATGGTTAGTAGCGACGAAAGCTCCTGTGAATGTGGCTTTGTTTTTTTAATTGTCAAAAACCATGTGAATATGTCCCAGAGAATGAAATCCATTTGCTCGTCTACGGAATAAAAAAAATGTTGGCTTTCTACTTTGTCTCAAGCATTCCAGACTTGAGTAAGCACTGCATGCCCTTCCTTCTGAAACTCAAGTTTGGTTTTCCTACTGCAGGAGCTTCATCACTGATTACAACATGGAAAGCCACACTAAGACTCAAAAAAGATCTCTGAAAATTTTGTCAGCGACTAAAGCTAATCTCATTCTATTCGTCGCCAATACACGTGAATGCGTGGAGACGGAATACATCCCATGAACAAATTAATTCAAACTACTTTTTAACTTTTTTGCTGGGGTATTCAATACTTTTCCCGTTTTGCGGATAATTATTGGTACAAACAGCTGCATGTTCAAAAAAGATATCGCCAAAAGCCTTCACTGTAGGTCAAAGGAGACTACTACTGCTGACAATAGTTCTGGATAGTAATAATACCTCTGGTTCAATGGCATCTGTATCAAGACCCTTTGGCCAGTCGCATGGCTTTCCGACGACTTTTAGAGAGTTATTGGCACAGTAACTGACAATGGACCTGGTCTTGGAGGTGATTGAGGCTCATCAGTAGGCATCAATGGCAAACCAAGACTTCTAAATTGCCTTCATCATGTTCCATCTCTTCAATTTCGGAATAATTGACATGCCCAATAAGCTGAAGCAACAATTCACCCGTTAATTATGTTCCTAAAAGCCGAAATTTAATTGAAAGCATTAAAATAAAATAGTTCACCGCCATACAAAGTATGTCACCGAATGTTCGGTTTGAGTCGGATCATCACTATCGTGCAAACAAAATTTTGAGAGGTAATATTTCCCACTACAAAATAAATAATGCAAAAAATATTATTTACCGAATTACATTACTAACTAAACAAAATATTAAAAGCAAAATTCTAGTAAAATAGTTGAATTAATCACGAAATAATTAGTACTAACGCTGACCACTCCGCTCAACAAAAGAGGTCGACATCTTTACTTCGATGTCAAAGAACACTGACTGCCTTCTCTCTCGCACCTATGCGTTTAATTCATAAACATACTGTTGCACGATCGTTGGCTAGCGTCTTGGGCCCGAAAAGTTGGTTAGAAAAGGCGCGGGAATTTTTTGAAATAACGTGCACGATCGTGTTAGGTCGTCCTGAAAGGGATATTGTAGGAATTGTAGAACAATCCAGAAATGACTTGTATAAGAACGAACAAGGCTTTTATGACAACAGTGTTGATCTAATGTACCGGTTTCCATTTGGTCTCAAGAACCAAGAAGTATAAGTTTCCATCTAAAAGAATAATGCCCGTTATCACCATCAATCCCTAACTTTTATGTGACCACTATGGTAACATAACAGGAATTTTGTTTTCACTTAAAAATTAGGGATTGATGGCGAAAACGGGCATAAGTGTCCACCTTTGGGTCCTCACATTGCAGGATAAATTCCTTCAGCAAAAATCTTGAAAAACCAAGCACTAACCTAACTTTACCATCTCCAGGAGCAAATAAAAGCAAAACGCGCCGAAGAATCGGCTCGTAAGATCTGCGCCAGACAAGAGGAACGCGTGGCTTTACTCGAGAGCAAGCTTGCCGAGCTATCCGAGACTGTAGGCGTGTATGACCTGAGGCGGAGAAGAGATCAACAGCTGATCCAGCAGTTGAAGGAGTCGTTGAATGGACGGCTGATGGACAAGATTCAAGCTAATGAGTATGGGGATGGAGCGGAAGGTTGGTATTGTGTATTTATTTATTTATTTTTTTTATTTGTTTGTGGCAACCAAACCTCTCTGGGAGGTTTATTTCTGCCAATGTCGAGTGAAAAATATTGACATAGTTATCAATAGAACGTGGGTGTTTCAGTTCTATTGATTTTTCATGAATTCCGTGGAGTTAAGTATGCCCGTAAGCAGGTTTCGAGACGCCACCGGGTCCAAAGCTGGTTGTTCATACCACAACCCACTCGACACTCGATGCGCGCTCAAATTCGAAGTATTTTAATGTTTTTTATAATTTATCACTTCACTGCACTTTAGAACACAAAATAACACCAAATTTGTACACTAAAGTCCATTAAATAATAAATTGAAACCATTAAAACAGATCGACCATGCTTCCCGTTCAACTACCCTCCACGGAATCCGTGTATTTATTTTGTTTTATTTAGAGGCTTTGCTTGAGAGCAAGCTCGCTGAGATATCTGACACTGTGGGTTTATTTTTTTTATACATGACGAGACAGGTATTTGATTTGACCGCAATCGCACCTGGTGTCAAGTGAGATGCAGTCTAAGATGGTACATATCTGCCCTGTAAGTGCCTATTCACTCTCACATAGTATTCAGGAAAGTCGGCAATATAAATATATGTTAACAATATGGTGCTATTTAGTTAGCCTCAGAGTTGAGTCCTCACCTCACCGTCAAACAAAATGCAAAAAACCTATTAAGTGATTGGTCACTGCTCGCTCGAAATTCCTTGTGAGCAAGCTATTGACATTGCATTGTACCTCATGGAAAGTGTTGAAGCTTGTGGATTACTTGCGTATTTGTCTTGCTACCCAATACTATGTTAATGTTTGTTCGTATGCTTTCAGGCGAAACTACACCCAAAAGTGAGACAGACAATGAGAAACTGGCGGACAGCGAATATCTGCAAACACTAATCGACAAAATACACATCCTAAAGAAAGAATTGATCGCTGAAAACGAAAAACTTGGCAGCCCCATCGACATATCCACAGTTTTCAAAGTAGACGGCTATGAGAATGCCCATTCAAAATGCAGAGAAGAATATGAAAAATTGAGGACGGAATTTGAAACATACAAAACTCTAAATTCAAAGCCTGTTTCGAGTGGGGATGACTTGCAGACTGAGATAGAAGATCTGAAGAGCGAGATAGAGGTATTAAAGGAGAAAGTGGAGACTTACAAGATGATGTTGGATGAAGAAAAACAGGACAAAGTTGACACTTTGAAATTGTATGAAGAGGTATGCCAAGTTATTCAAGTTGAATTTTTATTAAGAGTGGTTTAACCTAAAAGTATAATTCTGGGGTTCTGATGCCCGTTTTCACCATTGTTGGGAACCGATTGGTGGACCAACCTCTTTTATATTGTCTATGTTTTTTATACTTTTTTTATTACTTTTGATACCTTTTTGTTTAGTTTGAAGTTGGTGTTTTTTGATAGCCGTTGTGGGCATATTTTGCAGGAATACATCTTCATTTTAACCGAAGGTTTTTCTTATTTCCGCACGCCCGAGCGGCTGTCCGCAACAACCATCAATCCCTAATTTTTAAGTGACCCCTTTGAAAACAATATTTCTGTTATGTGTTACCTATGGTCACTTAAAAATTATCGATTGGTGGTGAAAACGGGCATGAATGTCCAGTTCATGAAGCCATTTTTTTTAAATTTATATGTAACGACTGGGGTCACGATCTAAATAAAAATATCACACTTCATAGTGTAATTTTCATACCAGAAATCAGTTCAATGACTGCTAAACCATAGGGTCCTTAAAACATATTTCAAATAACTTAAATGCTTGCTTCAAGTAATTAATACGTAAAATATCTATACTCCCCACAATATTAAATTCAACCCTTCACAAACTTCAACCTTAAACCAATAACAATACGGGCCATAATATTTACCAGAAACTAAAGAACGAGCAAGACTACCACTCCGAAGTAGCCTCCGACCTGAAATCCCGCATCCAAAGCTTGGAGAAGCAGGTGGCTACGCAGCGCGACCGCTACGCCGCCCTATTGGACGAAACGGACAACTTTATAAGGGCTAGGAACGACCGGTCTAGGAAGGTCAGCGTGGAAGACGGCCATTGGAAGGAAGGAGTTCTTGGGGTAAATATACATAGTTATTTTCAATTATAGTCTGGTCCGGGAGCACGTAGAATTTTGTCCAATGACCCCAAGCTACCCATCCTTATCGCTCGCGCGTAATTATATTGCTGTCGCGACTGTGCGACGGGCGCCCGCAGTGAGTGAGCGAGCGCGACAGCAACATAATTACGCGCGAGCGATAAGGATGGGTAGCTTGGGGTCATTGGACAAAATTCTACGTGCTCACGGACCAGACTATAGTAATACCACAAAATTTATAATAATAGGACGGCAAGCTGAAGTGGTAATAGGCGGGGCACACAGCACGCAGAACTAACCCCGGTAAGATCTAGAATGCCAAGTACAGGCAAGCGCAGCGTAGGACGTCCACCCATAAGTCAAGGTGGACCGACGACCTCACAAAGGTAGCAGGAAGGCTCTGGATGCAGGCCGCTACCAACCGGCCATTGTGGAAATCATTGGGGTGGGGTGGCCTATGTTCAGCAGTGGACGTGCTGACTAAAATGATGATGATTATGATGACACTATAGTCGTTACGGTAAAGTAATCCCGCATCCAAAGCTTGGAGAAGCAAGTGGCTACGCAGCGCGACCGCTACGCCGCCCTATTGGACGAAACGGACAACTTTATTAGGGCTAGGAACGACCGGTCTAGGAAGGTCAGCGTGGAAGACGGCCATTGGAAGGAGGGAGTCCTTGGGGTGAGTATACATACATACAGGCACGGTAATAGTATCATACAGTATTGTAACTTCATATAAACGGACGAAACGCGAGCTTTCCTTCGAAATTCAAATCTCGGTATGCGCTCGACATGCAAAAGTCGGGGGTGTCGCGAGTGTCTGCCACAGTAATAAACGGACGATGTCTTATTTTTTTTAACAGTAAGCGCTCATTTTTTTTATAAAAATAATTACAAGTACGTTTTATACAGGGTGTTAGGTAAATGGGTTTATAAGCCGACACTATCCCATGTTAAAATAATTATGCATTTAAATGGCATGGTGAAATCAGTGATATCATCATTTTATTTTTTATTTTTTATACAAAATAAAATTTATAAAATCAGATTTGTATGAAAATTCAAATTATTAAACTGATGATAAATTTTCGGACTTCACCATACCATTTATGTATATGCACATGTTAACATGGACTAGTGTCGGATTATAAACCCATTTACCTAACACCCTATATAATAATCAAGCATTTTTGTACGCCTCAGTCAAGGCGCATACATTTTACGGTCGTAAATTTATAAGATTTGTTACTAAATCTTAACACAAATATACATTTTTTTAATTAAATGTACTTATCACAAAACAACATGCATTTTTATCCTATTTCATTCACAAAGTATTTTGTTTGTCAAAATAAAATAAAAATTACAATCACAAAACTAGATAGAAATTCTAAGTAGGCAGATGTAATGAAAATAGGGTCTGCAGGTGAGCAGCCCTATCGCATGTTGTCATAAGCGTGACGTGCCGCGCGGCTGTTGACATTTATTTCAAAAATATGGTCGAGTTGGAATACTGTATAGATAGTATTACCGTGATACAGGTTATATTTTGTCATAGCAACACGTGACAAGCGAAGCGTGGGACACCACCCACAAGGTGGACGATCTTATAAAGGTAGCAGGAAGACGTTGGAGGCAGGTTTAGACATAGATTAGTTATAATTAATTTGTTAATCATTGTAGAATTAGCGGTCACTATTTCTATTTTTTTCACTTGTCTAAGCTAAGATGAGTCACGCCAATTGGTGAGCGCCGAAATAGTAGGAACCCTTGTAATCTCGCCAGAGTAGTGAGGGTAAACAAGGTTGGCGCCACTGTAGAGTAGATAGAAGTAGTCAGAGGTCCTGTCTCTCGCCAGTGGCGCCAGTACGGTAGCTTTATTAGGTTATTTTGTATTGCACAAATTACTAATAGCCCCGTTATACCCTCGAATTAAGTTAAATATGCTAGTGTTACGAGTAGGTTCACCACAATATTCCTTACTCCGTTTGGCTATCGTCGCTTCTATAGTATCTAGTTATCTGAATCGAGTTAGTGAATTGATTTATATTTGTTTGTTTTCACAGGACGTGACAGCACCGCCGCATATGCTCCACTATGCGCACGAGTTGGCTCGCAAAGACCTCGACATATCGCAGCTCAGGAAAGAGAAACACATTCTCGAGGGGCAATACAGGTATGGAACCAGATTATTTTGTTATAGTATATTTTATGAACTAACTTCTGACTGCGGTTTTGGCCGTATAAAATTTTATAAAAAAAAACCGACTCCAAAAAACCTACACTCAAAAGTAGAAAAATAATTACTAATTACCTACTTAGTAATTATTAGTAGGTAATTAGTAATTATTTTTCTACTTTTTAGTGTAGGTTTTTTGGAGTCGGTTTTTTTTTTTTATAAAATTTTACTTATTTCTTGCTTTTTAGTTAACTAATTATTACCTTGATGTTACCACTGAAGGTAAGCAGTACATTGAGACCATATTCTTCATGTCTAGTGTAAAATAATATTCCCTACAAAATACAGGTTACCATATAGGAAACCTAAAAAGACCTTAAACCGTCAGCCCACCTTAAAAACATGAAAGAATACAACTGTTGGTCTATTTGTACTTATAATATTTAAAGAATTATCCTACAACTCCTAAGCATTGAGGAGTTGTACCTACCATGACCAGTTTTTCTTCAAATTCGCATGAAACCACCCTTTTGATAATACCTATTCAACAAAAAAATAATCGTTCAAATTGGTTGATAATCGGCGGAGATATTGCGTATAAAAAAGTTCATCCCCAATTTTCCACCCTTGGGGGTGAAATATTTCCTTCAAATTCGCATGAAACCACCCTTTTGATAATACCTATTCAACAAAAAAATAATCGTTCAAATTGGTTTATAATCGGCGGAGATATTGCGTATAAAAAAGTTCATCCCCAATTTTCCACCCTTGGGGGTTGTTTTTTTTTATTATTAAATTTAAATGGGACCACCCTTGAGGTATTACCTATACGCCGAAAAAAGATTTGTTCAAATCGGTTCATAATTGGCGGAGTTGTCGCGTAACAAACATAGAAAAAAAAAACGGGTCGAATTGAGAACCTCCTCCTTTTTTTGAAGTCGGTTGAAAATCTCAAACTGAAAGTCTTTATCATTCTATAATTTATTATTAATACGCTTAAGGGCCGATTTTTCAATCGTCGGATAACTTTTAACTGAAGAATAACTTTGGCACATTGTGAGTTTTAGTATGGGAAATATGTCAAAACGACAAGGTTATTCTTCAGTTAAAAGTTATCCGATGGTTGAAAAATCAGCCCTTAGTAATGAGGCTACGACCTATTTTCACCCGACTGCGCTAGAAGAAGGGTTATGTTTTTTATCTGAGAATTATTTTCACGATAAAACAATACCAAAAATTTGGCGAAAAATATCCTACAAATATTTTTCACATTATTTTATATTCTTGAAAATTTTACAGAGATTGTCAACGAGAGGCTACGATTGAAAAAGAGCGTTTCAAAGAAGTGATCCGAACGCTGAAGGAAGAAATTGACAGGTAGGCTTGATAAGCGCAATAATCTTGTTAACTAATCAAAATGGATGCAACGGTTAAAAATAAAGACTGAAGTCATAGTATTCAATATTAGTACACAGTATTCAATACTAATAAAATGTCTGTTAATTTTCAGACTCCGCCGTATTCAATCGCGAGAGGGCGCCAATCTCGAATACCTCAAGAACGTTGTCATCTCATACCTCATGTCCACAGACTACGAAAGCCGCAAACACATGCTTAACGCCATCGCGGCTGTACTACACTTCACCAGCGCCGAAAAGACCTCTGTCTTGTCTATTCTCTGAGGCAAAGACGTGACGTCGATGATCGCTAACTCCATCCAGCCGATAGTCGACGTTATAGAGGATCCGTTGCTCCAAAACGCCATAGACGAACCCATAGAGGTCGGCGTCTCAGAAATGACGGCTACAGCATCCACGATCATACAAGCGGTCACCCGTGGACAAGATATCCCGTACATCATACATATTATGGCTAGAATGTGGCGTTTACATACTAGCGTTCCACCGGTGCCAGAGTATGATGATTATTATGATTATTATGCCGACGATGCAAGCTACCCTACGTTTGTGAGGGTGAATGATGACTTCTTGTAGGATGGACAATATTTGTAGTGTTATTTGGTGTTTAGTTGGTATACAGCTATCAAGGATTTAAAATGTATTTGAATGTTATGGCAAGACAATAAGGTTTTAAATGAAGGTGGCAACGAAATTGGGTATTTGTCACCACTCTCCAACAAATCTAAAGCACAACGTTTTTAAAAGGCACTTCATTCAAGTCTTAAAAATTTAATTAATTTTAAATTACTTGTAAATTAAGATTTTTGATTGCATTGTAATTGAAAAAAGTAGTTTAATTTTAATAGTTGAATATTGACGTCTCTGGCTAGTATTGCCATACAAAATCTATGGGAGAGTCTCGTTTTGACAGTTTTAGAAAGTACGTCAATAGATTGGTGGTGGCAAATACCCTATTGCTGATGTTTTATTAAATCTATAGGGTGGTGTTGAATCAATTGATGGATTGAATTTGATCCAAGAATATTGATAAAAGTGACTAATCTGAATGGAGCGTTTTGTAATAATAAAATGTTATTTATCTAATGGTGTTGTAGAACATTATAACACTATAAGGCTATTTACTAAATGTTCTATAATATCAAAGTATAACTCGAAGAGGTTATTTCAATTTTCGTTTAACGTAATATAATATACTACATAATATTCGTCTTGCAACCATATCTACAAAAAACTTGATTATAAAATTGTAATCATTATATTCTTACTGTTTTAAATTATAAATTAAAAGTATTCTAGTCTAGTCTACAGAAATAGAAATATTTTTATTTTTGATAAAAGTTTTTGTTACGTTTGGTCTAATTGTTGTTTCGATGTCCTCATAATATTTTAGTCCTTACTTTGAGTCAGTAAATTACTTTTGTATTCATGAATGATACATTCCGAATCAATTATTTATTTATATTGTAAGTGATTATTGGTGTCAAATCTACGTTTAGTAATAAAAAATATGGATATTGATATCAGTATCTTTTATTTGCTAACTCTAGTGCTTTTAAAGTGACTATATTCATTCATTTAATTATTGTTGCTATGGTGAATTCTTTTGTCCAGCGGATGCTACACAGTAATGTAAAATAGAGCTTTCTATGTGTGTGAATTTTTTTACTTTAAATTCAAAATTATAAAGTAAAATAATTAAAGTAATTTTGTTTTTGGAAAAACTAAATCGGGTTAATTGAAAAAATAATCATCATTATCATTATCCGGACCTAAAGATTGAAAACCCGTCATGTGTTATATGATTATAACCATATCGTTAATTCAATACGTATTATACAGGGTGTTGATTTCAATCCTCGCCATATTTAGGGAGTTGATTAAGTAGCTTATTCTGATCACGAATCAGTAATAAAATGACTTCGAAAAAAAAAATTTTAAACGAACTTTAACTTTAGTCAAAGAAAAATACCTATTTACATTAACTACCTACTTTATGTGGCTTCCTTCAGTAGGCTATCCAACGTGCCGCAAGTGCCGCAGTGTAAACGTATTGTAGTATTGCGAGCCACAGTAGGTACAGTTGATGTCGCACGGAAAATATTTGCTAAAAATTCCACTTTCGTTTGCAAATTTTTTTGGCGGAAAATGCGGTTAAGTTTAAGTCATAATAGATCACCTAAATAAATATGGCGAGGATTGAAATCAACACCCAGGTATAGTCGGTTCTAGCCAAGTTATATGGAGTATTTATTTTGTCACGCACACTTGAGAACACCCTATATACTCTCCTGTCGCTTTGATTTAAGGCCCCAGAACTTGGCACCCAATTACATTCCCATTCTTTTACCGACGACCGAACGTCGTTTCCAATTCTAAAGGAGAGCCGCAAAATTTACGGACCATATTTCCATTTTTACGCACCCACAAACTCCGCAGTAAAATATACGCGTATGGTAATGCGAGACGCGCACTTAACCGATCGAAAACGAGTCGTACGCAGGTGGTGTCATCGGTGAATAAACTTTTTACGAGTGCCGTTATCAGTCGATGAAAGTGGGCTGTGTGTTTTCATATTGAGTGTGGTTTGGGGAAGCCAGGAGCTACTGTGTTTTAGGCATTCTGTGTTTACTATGAAGTAGCGTGGTGTAAGTCCGCATCCAAGGACTGACAAGGTTGCAGACTTGGGTTGCAAACCAATAAAGCAGTTCTATAAACTAGATCCTTTTTCAATTTGACAAAGTTACACGATAATAATAGGTACACCCACAATAAAGATATAGATCCTGATAGCCTATTAAGACATACCTAATCTGTCAGATAAACTAAGGCTTGATTTCCTTTTAGGCTGACATCGGTGACCGACGTCAGCGGCGCGCACGATTACACACTAGTTCTATGTAATCATCTGCCGCTGACGACGGCGTTGCAGTGCGGTGCTTCATAGAACATTGTGTTTATTCGTACGCTCGACCGATGTACGCGACCGACGTCAGCGTAGGAGGAAATCAAGCCTAAATCTTTCGCTTTCACATGTTTCGGAAGTTCGGAACTTTATCCGTTCGTTAGATAGTCTTTCAGGAATCGACAAAACGCCCTAATTTTTAGGTACGTTACTCTTGAAGTGTTAATCAAGCCAATGAAAACAGTTATTCATGAGCTATATTAAACTGAACAGTAGTTAGGTAATAAGTAACTATTATAACTCAAACCATCCTTTAGGTAACAATCAGGGCACGTGTCGACCGTTCAGCGACCGCGACAAGCGTTCCTGGCGCGCTCATCCGTCATCGCTCGCTGGAACACGGAACAACAGGGCTGTCTCTACTTGTACACAGCTTGATGGACGAAGAACATGGTTAGTTTAGTGATCAATGGTTAATAATATAAATCAAACCGTCCGCTAGGTATTAAAGCAGTGACCGCGACAAGCGTTCCTGGCGCGCTCATCCGTCATCGCTCGCTGGAACGGAACACGGAACAACAGGGCTGTCTCTACTTGTATACAGCTTGTAGGACGAAGAATATGCTTAGTTTAGTGATCAATGGTTAATAATACAGTGTGAGTCACGTTAAAGTGTACATATGAAAATAGATGAAACTAGACCTATTTTTATCGACAAAAAAGAGGTCAAAAATTTTTTGAGATTTTTTTTTAATTTTTTATAGAATTTTTTTTCTTCCAATTACTTATTGTAAAGAAAACGTAATAACTTTTAAACTAAGCGGTATATCCTGATAAAATAAAAACAGTAATAATTCTAAATAACAGGCAATACTACAAAATACATAAAATACCCAAAAAAGGCCAAAAAATAACAAAAAATGATAATTAAAAAACCAAAAAAACACGAATTTTAAAGCAGATTTTTTTCAAAAATTATCATTTTTTGTTATTTTTTGGCCTTTTTTGGGTATTTTATGTATTTTTTTAGTATTGCCTGTTATTTAGAATTATTACTGTTTTTATTTTATCAGGATATACCGCTTAGTTTAAAAGTTATTACGTTTTCTTTACAATAAGTAATTGGAAGAAAAAAAATTCTATAAAAAATTAAAAAAAAATCTCAAAAATTTTTTGACCTCTTTTTTGTCGATAAAAACAGGTCTAGTTTTATCTATTTTCATATGTACACTTTAACGTGACTCACGCTGTATAACTCAAACCGTTCGCTAGGTATTAATGCAGCGACCGCGACAAGCGTTCCCGTGGCTGCGCTCATCCGTCATCGCTCGCTGGAACATGACGGGACAACAGGGCTGTCTCTACTTGTACACAGCTTGTTGGACGAAGAACATGCTCAGTTTACTGAGTGATCAATGGTTCATATCTCAAACTATCTAGGTATCAGTGCACCGACCCCGATAATGTCCCCGCGGCTATAAAATATCGCTCGAACGAACATGGCATTATAAGGTTATCGCTACCAGGAAAAAAATCTACAAGCACAGTAATTAATTACGTAAGTGCACAGTGTACCTACTCATTGTACTTTAAGGTCTAACCGAACTGGGCTTCTCTCTATCACGGGTTTGCGGTTCATTTAGGAAGTTAAACGAAGCTTGCATAAAAAAATGTAAAAGTAAATATTGCGCTGCGTCTAAATTTTTCTTTCTTGTACCCATTAAAACATAATCTGTAGTTAACATGAGTTTGTTTTGTATTAAAAATATATTATTTTAAAGCAGTGCTAACCCTAACTGCGTCTGTCTCACGATAACACCGATTGTCCCTACTCTTTTGTCTATGCTACGTTTACTAATGATCTTCGGGCGACTTGATTAATCTCTTAGACGTCTCCTTTGTTTTAATTAGCTCATCCATTCACTGTTTCGGGTAAGTGTTGTTAGGTTGGATGTACCTACACGTAATTTTGTGGTTGTACCGACTCATCTGCAGATTTATACGAGTCAGATTTTAAGGTTTCTGTTTGATTTTTGTTTTAGTACAGACGACAGCACATTTTGTGTTGGAAAATAGCCCCTATTTCCACTACCTACTTAAAATGCAACTGTGTTTCGCTTGATGTGCTTGCGCACTTATGCGCACACAACGCAGTGAGCAGGAAGGCGTTCGAATTTTGAATTTGGTAAAAAATCTTCTTCTTCTTCTTCTTTGGTTTATGGTGATGAACTTGCGTTTTTTCGCCACTGAGGGCACACTATCTTCAGATAGGTGTCGCTTTCTTCTAAGCATGTTTTTTTTAATTCCGCAAGTAGGCCAAGGCCATAAGCCATGCAGCCTATTCCGCACTATGATTTTCCAAAAACGTCAATATTCGAATTATAAAAAGAAAACGATCTGGCGCCGGAGTGTCTGGCCGCGCCGCCATACTTAGTTGCAAAATTGACGTGCGCCGTACGCTCGTCGAGGTTTTATTTTATTTTATTTATTTGGTTTTGTCGCGCGGAACTTATAAAAATAAGTTGGACTGTGTGCATTTTGTAGTGTTTAAAGGACAAAAGGTGCTTGTGGAAATTAATGTGAGATGGATATCATAATGGTGCTGAAAGGTGCATTCAATGTAAGTGTTTTCTTGTTTCCACTTGATAAAAACATTTATTTTAACTCGTATAAGAATTTAGCTCTTTTGTTTTTATAAAATATAGCCTACTTATGGCTTGGGTTATTTGATAAACTTAATGCGTCTGCCCAAGGGAACGTCGTAGGGAAGCTATACTTATTCTATTCTTAGGTACACCTTCTCTTCACATCTCATATTATATTTAGTAGGTAAGTAGTACCTATTATAGTTTAGGCTTGGCGGTCTTTTGAAAAACTATGTTACTTGGTACGATACTTCTTCTTTGCCTGGCCCATTCCCATTTTATTTGGGGTCGGCCCTCCGCGTCATGCGTCTCCAGGCGGCTCGGTCCTGGGCTGTCTTACTGTTAACTTGGGCTTCTTTAAGGTCGTTATTGATTACGGACATCCATGTAATTCAGGGTCTTCCATACATACGGTACGATAGGGTAAATAATAATCGAAAAGCCAGATTGCTAAGAAAAATATCTTGACAAGGGTATCATTAGTCTTTTAGGTTTCCAAAGCTTAGTATTTCAAGTAACAGGGGAGTTTCTGAGACCAAAATAATCATGCTTTTGGTAAAAATTACTCGGCACTCGCTCAAACAGAGCTCCCAAGGGCCCGCGCGTCTTTGGTTTTGCTTAATAAAAGCATGTGATTTTTCGTAGTATTTTGAAGAGAGGTAATACTGTCTGTAAATAGTATGCTAGTAGAATAAATATCGTGTAGAGTTTCTATGCCTACCCGTACATAAGACCGGCTTATCAAATTAATTAATTCTTAATTTACGTTAGC